AAAAAAAAAACAAAAACAAAAAAACTCCATCTGTGAAACTCCATCCTTGAAAAGAACCAGACAAAGATGAGAATTATGTTCATGTTTGTTCCTTCCCCAACTTTCAATAGGGGGAACTGGGCTAGACTGATGTATTAGTCAGTGTTCTCCAGAAAACAGAACCAATAGAACATATAGATGAATACATATACTTTAAGGAATTGGCTCATGTAATTATGGGGGCTGGTAGGTCCAAAATTTGTAGGGCAGGTTGGCAATCTGGAAACTCAGGCAGGAGCGGAAATTAAAGTCTTGAGGCAGGATTCTTTCTTCTCTGGGAAACTTTGCTTTTTGTTCTTAAAGCCTTCAACTGATTGCACGAGGCCCACCCATGTTGGCAGGCAATCTTAAGGACATCCAAAGAACACTCTCACAGCAATACCTAGATCAGTGTTGGATTAAATCACTGGGTGCTATGGCTTAGCCAAGCTGACACCTAAGATTAACCACCACACTTGATTAGACAGGCCCCTTCATGGATGGCAGGATGACAGAAAATTCTTGGGGCTGATCTCCATCCAGCAGACCCACACTTGCTTTGACATAAAAGCAGGGCCTGACTTGAATATCCAGTACTGTGGTTCAATCTGGATAACTCTTATTCAAACTGGACATTCAGGGGCACCTGTGTGGCTCAGTCGGTTGAGGGTCTGACTTCGGCTCAGATCATGATCTTGCAGTGTGTGAGTTCAAGCCCCACATTGGACTCACTGCTGTTAGCCTGTCAGTGCAGAACCCTCTTCAGAACATCGCTGCTTTTCTTTTAGGTGTTGTTGGATGTAAGCATGATGCTTGGAACCCCAGCAGCCATCTTGCATCCATCCTGATCTTGAAGGCAACACTTCCAAGCAGACAGAGAGATGGAACAAACCTGAGCCTTGAACCAGCCAGTCCTGAAGCCCACCCTATCTCTGGATTTCAGAAATGTTAACCTACAAATTTCCTGATGCTTCAGTTCTTTTGGAACTACACTTGGAAATATTTGAACTAATGAAGAATTCTCCATATTCCTTTTTAAAAAATCTTTAAATCTCTCAGATCTTTCCTGTTCCCATGCTTCTTCTGAGGACAGGGCACTGAGAACAGATGAACTGGTTTCTCTTTTCTTATTCCTAGAATTGGGAAAGGCCTCCCTCTACTACTAACGTGTCTGATCCATAGTAGACATTCAGCGAATCCCGAGTAACGTGAAAACTCCATTTAGTTGGATGATTTTGATAAAATGGGAGAGAGTAGGGGAAATATGAGCCTCTCTTGGCAAGTCTTCTGTGCGTTTCCTTTACAGTTTTTAGGAGAAACAGAGCTTACCTTTGAACACTTTCCAAGGAATTTCTTTGGCAAACATTTTCATGTGAGTAAATGTTTAACAAAACCGTTTCTTCATCCCTGCTATAAAATACCTTTGGGCCAGCTCTCCAGCTTTATTCCCCCTGTAGAGCAACAGAGGTGGGATGCAGTCTGGATTACTGGGCAATGACACAGACCCCTTGTGTGAGCCCCGGGCTGGACCGGGAGTCTGGGGATGGACCAGCCACACGCCTGGAGGGAGGCTCTCCTCCTGTAACCCTGCTGCAGCCGATACTTTCTTGGGCTGTTTATGCCTCATCCAGATGCCTTCCTGAAGGGAGGCCAGATCATCCACTCTCTCCTGGATCTGTACTGATGTCTCAGAAGGCTTCAAGGTTGGCACATTCAGATCCAAAGTCTTCACCTTGCTCTGCTCAAACCACTCTCCCTCTGAAGGTGCAGGGCAGTGAAGGGAGCTACATGTCACAGGGTGGCCCAGACAGAAATCTGGTTCCCTCCCTGATTGATACAGGAATCTCCTTCTTTTGAAAGTTCATGGTACGCCACTTTGCTTTTATAAAAGACTTACAGGGGCGCCTGGGTGGCTCAGTCGGTTGAGTGTCTGACTTCGGCTCAGGTCATGATCTCACAGCTCATGAGTTCGAGCCCCACGTCAGGCTCTGTGCTGACAGCTCGGAGCCTGGAGCCTGCTTCAGATTCTGTGCCTCCCTCTTTTCTGCCCCAACCCACTCGCATTCTGTCTCTGTCTCTTTCAAAAGTAAATAAACATTAAAAATTTTTTTTATGAAAGACTTACATTAGTACCTGTTTTGCTTAGTGAAAGAAATCTGAAGAGGATTTTCATTTTTATGACAAACAGCAAAAAGTGAAAATAGATTTCAGCGTTGGTTTTGCAATGAGACTTTGGAGGGGCAGATGCACCCCAGGCAGTGAGGGCGGCCCTGTCAGTGCTTTCCCCTGGAGCTCCACACAGCATCTCAGCATCCAGCCTCTGGAGCTCTGGGCTTTATCTCAACTGATTTTGTGCACCTGTTAGCGACATGTGCCTGAAGAATGATTATTTTGTGGGTCTGGGAATGCTCCAAAAATTTTCATATAAATTAACAGTAATTGTTTCTTTGCTTTATGCCATGTTGGCTTTCAAAAGGTTTCCTAGGGGCGCCTGGGTGGCGCAGTCGGTTAAGCGTCCGACTTCAGCCAGGTCACGATCTCGCGGTCCGTGAGTTCGAGCCCCGCGTCAGGCTCTGGGCTGATGGCTCAGAGCCTGGAGCCTGTTTCCGATTCTGTGTCTCCCTCTCTCTCTGCCCCTCCCCCGTTCATGCTCTGTCTCTCTCTGTCCCAAAAATAAATAAACGTTAAAAAAAAAAAATTAAAAAAAAAAAAAAAAAGGTTTCCTAGGAATGTCCTGCTTTTGGAAAAAGCAGACAGCCTGTGTTGCTGTCTAGGGCCACCTGGTGTTGATTCTGCCCCTCCTCAGTGTTGCCCATGGACATCCTCTCCTTTCCATCCATTTCTTTTGCTACAGCTCAGGCCCTGATGGCTGAGATGGAAATCTTCTCTTCTAAATGTTGTCCCTGCCCCCGGGCTTACATTTATATAATCCAACCACCACGTTGCTGCTACGGGAACTTCTTAAAATATACTAAGCTCTTTAAAAGCCTCCAGTGACTTCCTTTCTGTAGGAGACAGCCATGGAGCCCCGGAGGTGATGCCCAGGACCCCCCTCAGCCCTGTCTCTCCCTGCCCCAATCCTCCCGCATGTTGATTCACCTCTTCGTCCTTGACAGTGGCCTCCCCCAACCCAAAGTGACTGCCCAGAGAGGCCAGCATGTTCCTAGACGGCACACAGCACCCTATCTAGGGAGCCTGTGTAGTCTCCTTTTGGTGGACACCTTATTTCTCCAGTAAATTTCCCTTATACCCACTTCCATGTGCCCTTCACCCTTCCACCACACAGTCACGTGCGTGAAGCAGGAGCCATGTACCCTTTATGTTCTATTCCTGGTGCCCACGTAGAACCCGGCACTCAGTACTCATGTAGTAAACGCATGCGGAGCTGGACCAGATTAACTCAAGGAAGGAGAGACCGAGTAAGGCTGGCCAAATTGGGACTACTGCCTTCAGGAGGTGGTCCTTGGCCTGAAAACTCAAAGTTCCTTAGTGTGTCCAGGGCTTGAGGAGCTTAAACTTAACACTCGTGGAACATGTCTGGAGTCAGTTACGTGATACAGTTGTAAGGTTCAATATGGCACCTTTATTACCAATACAGGCTTGGAGAATGATGCTTGGGTGTCACATCGAGTTCCTGAGACTCACCCCACATCCAGTCACAGTTTGCCCAGGGTGACTGCAGGTCCCTCACAGGTACAAAGGAGCACAGAAGGAGGGGCAGCTATCAACAAGATGGCAGGGGAGGGGCCACCAGACACGCCCTCATCTGATTTCCTGTTTCTGCTGAACTCATGACCTCTGCTCAGATTCCACCCCAGTGTCTGCCCTATTCTCTTTACTACCATCGAACAGTTGGACACGACCCTTTTCCCAAAGTCCCACGGAGAACACACATGATTGAACTGGCGTTTCCTGGGTTTGAGGTTAAGATGTTGCATTATAACATAGCTCGACCAGCAACAGGAAATATACCATAAGATAGACCCACTCTGGCCTGCTGTGTGTTTCATATGTCCTGTGAGGGAAGAGAAGCCTTCACATTTTAAAATGGTTGAAGAAATCAAAGGAGAATTATGTTTCATGGCCACATAGGAAAGTTACATGACATTCAGATGTCCCTGTTCATTAAGTTTTATAGGAATGTAGCCTTGCATTGCCTGTGGCGGCCAGGGCAGAGCTGAGCAGACTACAGACCATTTTTAAGCCTAAAGTATTCACTATCTGGCCCTGCCAATGCCTGCTTTAAGACATTACAGTTCCTTCATTTCCCCGCCACTGGAATTTCTCAGCGATTGCTTTTCCTAAGGCTCAGCCCCACCCCGCTGTGGTGACCCCTTTTCTCTCCTTCATCATGCCAGACCCCTCTTGTGCATTCCGTCCCGGACCTCTCCTTGCCTTGGAAAGTCCCCCCAAGTCCCCTCAACAACCTCATCATCCTCTCTCGAAGGTGTGGGGATGGGGATGGGCGTCTTTTATGACCAACTCCAATGAAATCAGAGCATGTTTCTGAATAAAATAAAGAATTTTGCCACCAGCTTTTAATGTAACGCGTGTCTCCCCTCGACAGCATCGTTGCACAAAATAGGGCCCAGAGGTAGGACATCCGCACAGCTTCACAGTCCACCACCTTCCTTCCTGCAGACATCCTGTGACGGTTAGTTTCTCATCCCTTTTGTTCTTACTGCTACAATTTTTAACAAAAACAAAAAATTTTTTTTCCTTTGGATTTTATTTACCTAAAAGCACTTGAAAAGAAAAGAAAAGGTGGCATGTCTAATGCCAGGAAGAGAAACTGAAGTGAAATTATGTAAAAAGGCATATAAAGAATCTGACACAGACAGAGACGGGGACTCAAAAAATAATATAGCTGACTGCAGAAATCATCTGAAAACGCTCAGTGTGCATGAGTAATACACAAGTTAATTAAAACGGCAAGAAAAATCAGAAAGCATATAACAAGGAAGGCAGATATCCCAGGGTTAGAAAACACCCAGGTTTTGACTCTGAGGAGCACCCTGGAGGCCCAGTTACTGCCTCTCTCTTTCAGGGCTCGCTGCTGCTTTTCCACATACTCCTGCACCTTGGTCAGGAAGCACCTGTGCTCTTCCCCGTGGGCACTGCCCCTGTCTTGCAGCAGCATCTGGGCTTCAAAGAAGAGGCTGTTGGTGTGGAAGGCGCCCTGGCTCTCCCTCTCCAGCCTCTCGACCACGGCCATCAGCTGGGCCCGCTGCTCCCTCTGCTCCTCCCCGGTGGCCTTGTTGTTGAAGGCGCAGTATCTCTTGCTGCACTCCTGGACCACGCTCCTCAGGCTATGGTTGTCTGTGTTGGCGACGTAATTGTCCAAGGACTCGCCCATCAAGTCCTCCTTGTGGGTGAAGAGGACCACCATGTGTTTCATGGCTTCTTCCCCGAAGATCTCCATCACCCTCCTCACCGCCACGGTGTCCTGGGCGGTGAAGCGCCCCAGCTGGGTCACCAGCAGCAGCACGTGGGGCCCCGGGGCAGAGAGCAGGTAGCAGTCCCCGATGTCCTTGTACGTGTCCTGGGTCTGAGCCCCTGCCTCGAAGATGGGGGGTGTGTCAACCACCAGGATGTTCCTTCCATCCCAGGTCCCTGTCTCTGCCTGGCACTTTCTGGTCACAGGCTGGCTCCTCAGCTTGGACTCGAACACTGGCTGGCAGAGGATGCTGTTCCCTGTGGCACTCTTCCCGCTGCCTGTCTTGCCCACCAGGATGATCCTCAGTGAGGACGATGTTGCAAACCAGTTATCTTCCCCTCTGCCTATGAAAAAACCAATTTGTGTGTGTCTTACTAAGTTAGTGATTAAGATTTCCAGGGCAGGGACCTTCATGGAATCGCATGAAAACTCGTGGACCTCCCTGTCGCCAAAACAGTCACATCTAAATACATATGAAAGTTCGTATCCTTTAGGATGTTCTTGGATCAAAGAAAGCCTATGTTAGAAATTAGAAGCTTGGACCCACAACCAAGGGAGGGACCGCTCCACTGAGAAGAATGCTCTAAGCACTTCATCTACAGCAGGGAAAATACAGCTTTTTTTTTTTTTTTAAAGGAATGTGATCCCAGGGCTTTTCCATAGATGGTGCTTTGGTCAATTTCATGCTAGATAAATGTAAGATTAGAAGGAGGCAGAGGATGAGAAGCCACGAATGAGAAAACATTATCACCTCTTTTCCACCCACAAATCCCCAGGCTCAACGCACACATATGAACCTCAGGCATAAAGTGCATCTCAGCTGTCAGAGCTTCGGTGACCTCCCGCCAAGGACTAGCTGAATGTCCCTGGATGTCTGCTCTGTGGGTGGGCAGCTGGAGGCTTGAAACTGAGATGACAGAAGGTTGTTAACGTCAAGGACAAAGTCTGGGAGATGCCCCTGGATGGGAGGCTGAAGAAAAGTGGAAGAAAGGACATTAGAAGCACATGTGTTGGAGATATCTGGCTGAGTGAACTACACAGGAAACTGGCTGAGTGAACTGCACAGGGAGGTGTTGGAGGTGGGGTGACACGAGCCAAGAGCTAAAATCTTCAAGGGTTGGAGGGGGGTGAGAACCTGAGGACTTTTAGAGTTTTTATGAGTTCAAATGAATTAAGGCCATTTCAGGCTCCTAAAATCTGTTATTTTATTCCTTCTACTTGGTGTTGGTTCCTCCTCTCCTTAAGCATTTGGAGCATGCAGGGTTACTAAATCTCTACGGGAACTCTTCCTCTTTCCAGTTGGGAGCAGACAAGGAAAGAGAAATCGTTTTCACAGCCTGGTTCCAAATCCTCCAAACCCTGATGTGAAGTCTCACCTCCACATTTCCCACCGATCATGTGCAGGCGAGAGTGTGCTGGGCATGATGATGACAGGGAAAGGGAAGAACAGGGGACAGTTGTCTCTTTCTTCTTCAGCTTATTTTTTTTTTTTTTATGTTTACTTATTTTGTGAGAGGAAGAAAGCGCGAGCAAGGGAGGGGCAGAGAGAGAAAGGGAGAGAGAGAGAATCCCAAGCAGCCTCCTCACTGTCAGTACAGAGCCTGTGGCGGGGCTGGATCTCACAAACCATGAGATCATGACCTGAGCCGAAATCAACAGTTGAATGCTTACCTCACTGAGCCACCCAGGTGCTTCTTTATGTGTATTGTCTTCGGTGATATGTTTCTTCATATCACCCATTTTTTATTTATTATTTATTTTATTTTTGATGTCTTAGTATTAAGTTTGAAGATTTCTTTTTTTTTTTTTAAATGTCTATTTATTTTTGAGACAGAGAGAGACAGAGCATGAACAGGGGAGGGTCAGAGAGAGAGGGAGACACAGAATCCAAAGCAGGCTCTAAGCTCCGAGCCATCAGCACAGAGCCCGACGCGGGGCTTGAACTCACAAACTGCGAGATCATGACCTGGGCTGAAGTCGGACGCTCAACCGACTGAGCCACCCAGGCGCCCCATGAAGATTTCTTTTTTGAATATACCATAAAATTAGGTATGGATTTTTCCAATATTTTCTCCCAGTCTGTAGCTTATATTTTTTCATTCTCTGGACAGTGTGTCACACCAAAGAGTGCCACCCAGGCACCTCCTCAGTTTAAAGTAACTGGGTTTCTGTCCCCGTGTTTGAGGTGAGAGTCGGTGGAGACAGAACAGTGATGCTCCCAGGTGCCTGGAGCTCCTGCAAACACCAAGGCTTTCTTACCTTCAGTCATAGTTCCATATCTGCTTCTCTGAAGCCCTTCCATTCTCTTCTGGAATAAAAAACAGGAAAGGAATAAAAGCAAGTGTCCATATGGGAGTTGCTAAGGCCTGAGAACACTTTCAATTCAGACAACTAAGAATAATTATCCTAGGATGAGCCATTTCCATTGCTAATTTTCTAACTCATATTATACTTCCAAACATCTATGAATAACTATGCAAGCCAGGCAAATTTAAGTTAGGTTATGTTAACGCAATGCACTGTTGCTTTTTTTTTTTTTTTTTTCAACTTATAGGAAATTAGGAAAGATTTTTAAAACGGAATCAGTTGGTTTTTCTTTCTCCAACTTGAAAAGGCATGAAATGAAGAAAGCATTCTTCTATGGAAGCAGGAGTGGGGCATTATTATTAGTTGGAATCAAAGTAGGCAAACTTGCTAGAATACAGAGAAAAAAACAAAACCCTACCTTTCTGTAAATAACACTGGTTTGTTTGAAGTACTGAGAGTTTTTGCTCCCAGAAACTGTGTCAGATACTCCATTGGCAAAGAGGAAAGCACAATGTTCCTTCCAGTGGGAGAGCGGAATGGGAACAAGGTTAACTTCAGGCACTGACAGCAGAGGAAGTAGTTGTAGAGGGCCGAGCCCCAGCACCTTCCTTACCACCCCATCCCCCACTTGGCCCCACCCCAGGGAGTTTGGTGGAGAGAAGGTGGTGCCATGACTGAAGGGACAGAATCAGCATTCAGGACAAATTCAGGATAAACTCATTGCCTGCTCAGATCTTAATCCAACTTCTTTCCTGGTGGGCTCTGAGGTCCTGGTCCCCAGATAATCGCCTTTTCTGTATCTCAGCGGATTTAATCAGAAATCGGCACCAGGATTGGCATAAATGTTTCATTCAAATGAGGCAGATTATTGGGTCATTCTTCTTGGTATTAGGAAAGGTAAGTAAGCATTAGATAAGGCAGGCACGAGACATGCAATATAATTAAGATGAACTCTGAGGTTCTTTGTCTTTATCCAGGTTTAAAGATTACGCGGTTTCGAAACACATTTTTTAAGTGGAGAAATGCATGAAGTAGCTACCATTTGCAATGAACAAATGTAAATATTTGGGCATTTTTACTGGAGCTATTCTGTTTGAAAAGTCAAACATTACACATATAGTTTCATTAACATTGTTTGGCTCCCCGGTCTTATTGCCCCTCCCTCTGTCCTCTGAAAGACAATATTCTGAGGATTTTATGGATCATTCTTGTTTACCTATTTATACTTCTGCATGCACATGTCTCTATAGATAATGCATAGTACTGGTTTTGTATTTTAAGCTTTTTATGTAGATGACCTTGTTTATGGAACATTTTATCAATTATCAACAAACTTTGAGCTGTTTCAAGCTATGTGCTTGTACTATCAACAATGCTGCAAAAGAATCCCCATGTATGTCCTCTTGTGCACATGTGCAGCAATTTACCTGGGATAAACAGCTGCCATCTGACTAGGTATTGCTAATTATGCCCCCAGGATGGTTGTGCTAACTCACATTGGCACCAGCCACGTATGAGAATTCCCAAACCTTCACTGGCATTTGGTGATATTAGGCTTAATGTTTTGTCGCTCTTCTGGGCATAAATAAGGATATCTTAATTGGTTTAAACTCGAATTTTACTAATTGCCATAGAATCAAAAGTGTTTTTCATAGCTTATTGGCTATTCAGGTGGCTTCTGTCATATAGAAATAACTTCTGCATGCTTTTCTACTCATGCAGTGGATGTGTTTTTTTTTTTGTTTGTTTTTTTGTTTTTGTTTTTGTTTGTTTTGTTTTGTTTGGCCCTCCTTAGGGGAAACCATCCTCTTCCACATTATCAGAATATATTAAGACAATTTCCTTCTTTTCCCTTCTTCCTTTCCTTCTCTTTCCTTTTCCTCCCCTCCCTTCTTTAAGCCCAGAGAAGACCATTTGCCTCACCATCTTTCACATGCTGTCCTTTGCTTTTGGTAAATTATATTCCAGCTTTTGCTAAAACTCCTCAAGTTCTCTGACATCTTTTGTATTTTTATTTTTTTTTATTTTTTATTTTTTTTTTTTTTAAATTTTTTTTTTCAACGTTTATTTATCTTTGGGACAGAGAGAGACAGAGCATGAACGGGGGAGGGACAGAGAGAGAGGGAGACACAGAATCGGAAGCAGGCTCCAGGCTCTGAGCCATCAGCCCAGAGCCCGACGCGGGGCTCGAACTCACGGACCGCGAGATCGTGACCTGGCTGAAGTCGGACGCTTAACCGACTGCGCCACCCAGGCGCCCCATCTTTTGTATTTTTAGACGACATTTTCTGAGGTTTGGGAACCTCATAAAACATGCTGGAATCAATCTACTGATTCCGTAAAGGCGATGATGATAGGGGTGAGGATGTTGATGATGGGTTTCATCATTGTGAACATCCTCTGTGCAGTCATCTATAACCTTCAGAATTCTTTCATGTCCACGATTCTAACTGTTCTTCTAAGTTCCCTGTGATGTGAGGGGTGCCTGGGTGGCTGTCGGTTACATGTCCAACTGTTGATATCAGCTCAGGTTGTGATCTCATGGTGGTGGGATCGAGCCCGTCAGGCTCCATGCTGAGCATGGAGTCTGCTTGGGATTCTCTCTCTCTCTCTCTCTCTCTCTCTCTCTCTGTCCCTCCCTCCCTCCCTCTCTCTCTCTTTCTCTCTCAAAATAAAGAAAAACAACAACAAAAAATAAAGAAATAAATTCCCTGTGATGTGATCAAGACAGTCTTGAAATTTCTGTTAAAATATTAGGAAATTGAGCATCAGATGACTTGCCCAAGGTCACCCAACTGCCATGGAGCTAAGCTATATAAAAAAGGCCCCTTTTGCCTGCATATCCTCCTTGATTCCACAGGGGGTAAAAGAGACTATTCCAAAGAAGTCCACCATCATCTTGGAACACTGCATACAATGTTAGCATCCCACAGTCAGAACATCAACTGGTGTTGATAGGCTGGATGTCTGCCTTAGAATCAACACGGAGAATTGTATTGCAAAATCTTTAAAATTTTTCTTTTACATTTATTTATTTTTGAGAGACAGCATGAGACAGTGTGTGAGTTGGGGAGGGGCAGAGAGAGGAGACACAAAATCCAAAGCAGGATCCAGACTCTGAGCTGTCAGCACAGAGTCCGACTCGGGGCTTGAACCCACGGACCACAAGATCATGACCTGAGCTGAAGTTGGCTGCTCAACTGACTGAGCCACCCAGGCGCCCCTATTGCAAAATCTTGAGTGCATGTTCTAAAAAAAACATATATATATATATGTTCAAAAAAATTTGCAGGAGGCAGGAGTTGCTCTGAATTGAAGTAGTTTGGTTTAAAATAATCTGGTGTTTTTGCTTGACTTGATTAAGTGTGACCCAAATGGTGCAGTGTGGCTGTCTCAAAAGGCCAATCAACCCAGGTTACATTAGTGGAAATGCAGTATAGTGGTTCTTCTGAACTATCTTCTGAGTGGGTCAGGCTGCGGGGGGAGACATACCTCCCCCTGAGGGATGGATTTTTAGGCAGATATTAACAAATAAGAAAGTATCCAGAGGCAAGTCTGAAAGGATATTGACAGAAATGTTAAAATGAGTCACAGACAAAATATTAACAGGATGGAATAAAGCCTCGGAAAAGGCTGGGGAAGGATTGTATACCTGAAAGAATGTGGTACATGTCAACCTCAGCACAGGCAAAAGTGAGTGATTTGGGAACGAAGGCAAATTTCTTCTCCAAAAGGAAAATTCTGCTAACCTTCTCCAAAATGGGATGAGGTATCATGAGAGAGTGGCAGGCAGCATGTAAGCAGAAATGACAGAATCAGACAGGGATTGTAGGAGGATCTAGCCTAGGTAGGAATTGAAAGCAAACATAATGTGCATTCTGATTTTAAAATTGTAGGAGCCTGATTTTATCATGATGCTACTTCATTTTATCAAACCATGAGAAAGCAGGCTCTCTAATGCTGTTCTGGGAAAGATAAAAAATATTTCTTGCCTAATTCACAAATATCTCCTTCACTCATCTGCCCAGTCCCTGTATTTCCTGGTTTGGCTCACTTGTTCTGTACTTCAGTCACTGTGAGGTTGTGACACAACTCCCACCAAGGGTTAGCAGACAAAAGGATTGTTCCCATATGCCCTGAGCATAGTATGTTTGCCCTAGAATAGAGTCCTACCTATATCGTGTCATACAAAAGATGGGG